TTTCATTGTCGTTGCTGCTACCAACAGAGGCAAAATTCTCCGTGTCGCTGTTTATATCGAACGGAGTGCATTGGATGTTGGGCGGGCCTTCCAGAGAGAGCAGTGGGGGTTCTGTTTCCGGAGCAGCGCAAAGCCATTTTTCCAGGCGCGTAGCAAATATGTGGTTGGGCTCGAATGCAGCGTACTTTGCAATCTTTTGTCGGAGATGATGGGGCAGCTTTCCAAGTATGCTTTTCGGGCCGGGTCCAATCTCTAGCACTGAGATCTTCATATGCGAGTTGAAAAGAGGGGCTATGAGCCGACATAATTGCGGGACAATGAAGTCTTCATACGCTGAGCAGCCCTCAAATATAGCGAGTCCAGCACTGTATTGATAATCAGACAATGACTGCTTCGAGGACGCAGTTGGCGAAGTTCGCTGTCTGAGCGCCTGTTCGAGGTAGTTCACGGTGGCCATGTCGGCTGGGATGAGTGAGAGAAAAATAGGACTGCAAGGACCTGACAGTCATTTTTATAAATTTGTGCAGTTAAGACTCGAAACTGATAGCTGGTTTAATACCACGTGAACGTTTGGCTGCGGGGTCATCGTTTAAGGCAGGAGTATAACATAAGCTGTCGCTTGACCACGCAATGAGAGGCGCCCGATGTATGCATGCGCTCGGCTCGTTCTCGCTGTGATAGTGCTCCCGATACAAAAACATGGTTAAAGCACGGCGTTCTGTTCTCTTAAGTGTCGTGGTATTACCCATTTATGAGAGCTGTTACCGGACGTAATTAAAACACTCGTAAATCTAAGAGTCCGATAAATGATCGAGCTCTGGCCAGCATTTCTACGTATTAAGTTTTGTTGGGTTCATCTGTAGCCATAATGGCGACATGCCTTACTAAGCGGGAATTGCGTCAAAGCAAAGCAAAGTTCTCTGAGACAGGCACTGCGAGACATAGTATACAGTGCCATTGGTACTGCTAGGGAGCTGTCCTATTAGGTTAGTCATTGCCTCCTATGATTCGCCAAAGGTCATTATGCAGGGCGGCGGGTATATCCCAGGGTGACTCGTACACTGCGCCCCCGGCTTCAAGTGGCCACCAGCATACTATACCACTACTGCTCCATTACTGTCATCTATTTGCACTTTATGCATGTTAACGGGAAGATATCACATTCTTAACAAACTTAGAATCTCGTCAAAGCCCATGGTGGCCAGCGCGTAATATACCTCTACCGCCTTCACCGCAGAACCGAATTCTCTACGCTGCCTCCGCAAAGTCACGTATGGGCCCTAGGATATGAGTATCCTGGAGAGCAGTTTGAGGAAACATTCTTACATCCCCCTCCCTCACCACCAATTAGCACCACGTCATCATCAAATGTGCTATCAATCTTGCGCCGCCGTTCCTGACTTAGCCCCTTCAGCCGCGGGCCATTAATAGACACCAAGGATCGCGGTTCCTGGCGCACCACAATCACACTGCTCATAGATAAGCTCTTAACGCATCATTGCCATCCTGTCACCTGGCTAAAGGGTAGAAAATACCATGGCGCGTGACTATATATGGTTGTCCAAGCGTAGGCTCACTCGGACATAGTGCTTGGCGCATTTCACTGCGCTTTGCGTCTCCGAGATGATATTGCTTACGCGTTTTGTCCTTGTTTAAGTCAGGACACAATCCATAAGAGCAACACTTGCATTAAAATGCATAAAGTGATCCCCAAAGGTCACTGGTCAATATTTGAGGGGAATTGATTACCTGGGGGAGCGATGGAATAGATGTATTGCTAGTGAGTCCGGAAAAGAGCAGGATCTTTTCCCCGAAGGTATGCGGCACAATCAATCACTATGCATATTGGACGCCCATCTATATCACACGAGCCGTTACTGCTCTA